CACATACTGATTTGTTTTATGGATGGTGAGAACACCAAAAATCTACTCTCAGCAAAATTTAGGTCTACAATACAACTTTCTGAACTGTAGTCATGTGGTCTATTAGACTCACTGCGTATAAATGTAAGTTTGTACCCAGTGGCTCACTTCTCATTTTTTGTCCCCTTCTTCCTATACCGCTGTCCATAGCCACCACTCCACTCTGAGACTTCTTAATTGCCCAACACAGAGCCCTTTGTTTCAGGCCCCCATTCTTTTTGAATTTTCTGTGCTAATCGAATACTCTCCATGGACCAGGATATAATGAAACTTTTTTTTTTGCTTGGCATTTTATTTTAAATATTTGAGGTTTGGCTAATGTTCCTCTTTTCAGTTTCTCAATTTCCTTCCTCCTTTTTGGACCCATCTTTCCTCTTTCCATTGCTAGAAAATCCTAAAAGTACTTCCCCCTTACATTTGCATTCTTCAGGTGGACTCGAGCTAACGGACAAGGCGAATGCCCATCTGCAATGATTCCTCAATGGCTGCATGTCTGAGTGTCATGACAACATCACTGACTTAAGAACCTTGCATTGGACTGACCTGGGAACTAGTATTTTAAGCCATGCTGGCCTTCCCTAACTGACAGAAGGGTTGATAAAATGATGGGGCTCTGATTATCACCTCATTCCCTAGGAATCCTGTATAGTTGATGGTTCATTTGAAAATGTACAAGAGCAGACTAATATTAACAGCTATTATAATAATACCTTAAATTATATTTCTTAGTATATGTTTTATTGTATAAATATATACATTTATATATTAATTTATACTTTAATATAAATTAAAATTTATACTGCTAATTTATATAATTTATATTTATATAACTATATATTTATATACATTAATTTATATTTTTATTTTTAACTCACAGAGCCAGTCCCTACAACTTTCACTGATTCTTCCTGTCTTCCTACAGGCACTAAAAGATGAATTGTTTGTGGAGAGGAACTATGTCTGGGGATTAAGGGGTTTGCTGGTCCATGAGTTAGTAATGGCAGGGTGAAATTTCACTCACCATCTCTTGCTTTCTGACATTCAACAGAATCACAATTTTGATCCATTACCTCTAAATGGCACCTTTCATATGTACGGATGGACTATCTTAAACCTTTAGAAACAAAGAGGGCCACATGTGCACTTTATAACAAGGAAACCAGCACACAGAGGCACTTGCCCAGGCTCCTTCTCTCTCTTCTTTGTATCCCAGGACTCCAAAGGCAGTGTCATCAGATGGTTAGGAGAGTCAGAAAGGTGTGTGTTTCAAATCCTAGCACTACCAGGTAATTGCAGTGGCACCATGGGTGGTTCTTCTTCCATAACGTACTTCCTGCCTCTTCAGGTTACTTGTTCATTCAGCACACACTAGCTGATTGCTTATCGCATGTGACAGTCTTCTGGGGATACCGTTGTGAAAAGGGGAGTAAAAAACCTGGCCCTTATGGAGCTGATGTTCTAAGGGGTTTGATGTATTGGAGGGTTGTTGATGGAGCTGAATGAGATAATGCAATGACATGCTTTGTACAGTGACTGGAACAGAGTAGGGATGCAATAACTGGTTTTGTACAAAAGGAATGCAGGGTCTATAAACACCTCGAGGTGATGGCATTTGCCTTTCATCTATAAACACATGTATGAAGATTGTAAAAGGAGTATTATCAAAGCATTTACTTTTCCAAGAACCATTTCATCCCATGGAAACCATTAAAAATTAGCTACAATAAACTAGATTTATAATTTAGTAGTTGGGATTTATGATTTAGAATTGTTTAGTTACAGACAATAAAATTTTAAAAACTGAACTGTAGCCTAGCCTTTTCAAACAGAAGCACAGAAGGATACCATGGCTGATGGAATTGAGGAAAGGAAGGAATTGATGAGAGGGTGTTGAATGAGCCTTAGCAACAAAGGTATCTGGAGCCTGGAACTAAATTGCAGGAGATTTCAGGTCATGAAGCTGATTTCAACAGGATTCCCTAGAGTTGTGTGCTGGTCTTGGGGTGGTCAACCCTGTCGGCTCTCAGGGTTTATCCAGTAGAGGACAATTTTGTAAAAGGAAATCATTACTATTAAAACACATTGAGCAGTCAAGAAACAACTCCTGACAGCTAAGTGTCTTAAAGCTGGGAGAAGGATCTTGTCAGCACCCAATGCTTGACATTACGGAAAGTAATAGGGATTCTTGTTCCCAACTAAATAATGGGAATCCTACCACCCAGTGGCAAGCCTCTGAAATTTCATGTAGTCCTTAAGTTTTAGTTATTTTATTATTTTACATATATATATGCATACCTTTTTATCTTATATATACATGGAGTCTTTAGAAAGTTCATAGAAAATACATATTTTATAAAAAAATTATATTGACTTCAACATTTTTTGTACCATGATAAACTTATCTTTTAATTTTACTGTTCCATGAACTCTTTGAAGTACCCTTATACATACACTAAATATATATATATTTTTAAATTTCATCCCTGATCTCTGTGCCACATTGGTATTTGTCATGGAGCATTAATTGCCTTTTCTGTGTCGACACAATTCCAGAAACATTTACAGAGCTTCTATGATAAGTGTCTTTTCTGGGCCTAGCAGTGTGTGGCTGTGGGGATGTGGAGGGATGTGTTGCATTACATTCTGTCATTACATAGATTTGCTGTCCCTGAGAAATCATTCAGGTATGTCTGCCAAGAAATATTAGCCTTCTCATTCTTTTTATGTTTTCAGATAATATATATAGAAATAATATAAGGGAAGTGCTTAGGTCAATGCTTGTACTTAATTGGTAGTCAATAAATGACATGTGGTCAGAACACCCAACACCCTGGACTTCTCGGGTAGGTCTGTACAATCAAAAGTGTCCTTGGGAACAAACTCCATGAGAATTTGGCTCAAGATTCAAATTCCAGCGAGGGAGTGTCCAACAGCTGTCCCTGGGCTCTGTGCCCACCCCTCGGTGATGAGGGCAGAGTAGGGTTTCCATTTGCTGGCTGCCTAGTGTGGATCCAGAGTGTACCTTTAGTTGAAGGTAAATTCCATGTGGGAAGGGCCACGTCTGTTCTGTAGGCCGCCGTACCCTATACTTAGCACCATTCCTAGCACATGGTGTGCATGGAGTGCACGCTTGTTGGAAAAGTGCTCTAGTTGGGTTCCTCTAGACAGATTCCAAGGGAAATGACTAAGCTACTGCTTGAGTGGCTATCATTAGGGCATAATTTTCAAAAGCAATCCTAGAACGGGCAAGATGTATAATCTCTGTCATGAAATGTAACCTTTGCAGGGAAGACAAGCGACCACAGGGTGACATCTCAGAGTGCCCTGCAGCACTGAGCACCGCCCGGGCCTCCCTCTGTTGTGGCTGATGAGCATCAAGATGCAGAGGCATTTTGTATGTTAAAGTAAGCCACATTTAGTCAATGATGTTTGCAATGACTAATGAGTCCTGGTAAGCAGAAACCAGGAAGCAGAGGCCCACGCTACAGAAAATATCTGCACACAGAATCCTCACCCAGAGTGCTGGCTGCAAAAGTTCAGCGTTTGGCATTTTCAACAACTGCTGTTTGATTTTCCTTTATGGTGTGGTGGCAAGTTCTGCAAAGGCAGGAAGCTCTGATATCTATTGTGTGAGCGCTACTGGATGAGGATAGGGGATATAAGCGTTTCCTTTTATGTTATAACTGTGGTGGCAAACCTCCAAATACCATACTTTTCTTTGGTGCAGGCTGAGAGAAACCTACTGGTAGTTACATGTCTAATGAGTCCCACAATATAACAGTAGTGTAAGCATTCATTTGTTTGATGGCTGTTAGTTGCCTATCTACCCTACGTCTGGTCCGGTCACCTTTTGGGTTTTTCTGGCTGGAAGTCACAATGTGTTATTTTGTTGTAACGTATCTCTTTATGCACCTTTTTTGCTTGCCTGGTTCCTTTTATCAGCCAGATTTCCCCTGCTACAGACTTCTCGCCACCTGTCAACCTCAGGTGTCCTAGGACAGCTCAGGTGCCTACCCCTGTGCCTGGAGCAGCTGTGCTTTTTCTCATGATTCCTCAATCTGCCTCTTTCTAATCTGCCCTGCCTGCCACGCGGGATGGGAAGCTGTTTGGAGGTCTGGCCTGTGACTTTTCACTAAATGCAGCTCTGTTACTTAGTGTCAGAAGCATAGTAGGTGGTTATTATGTCAGTGGAGAAAGAATGCAAAATGAGGAATTAAATAAGTCTGAAATTATTTTTGATCATATTACGCAAAGCACAACACTTAAAGACATGTCAGCATAGTAGGAACTCACTGGCCTCATGTGAGCTTTGGGTTAACTCAACCATTGTCAACATATTCAACAGGTGCTGTTTGAACGTGCGCTGTGTTGACATTACCAACTCTTTGGAGTAAAAAATAAGTATTTAAATATATAACTCATATTGAAAACAGTTTGTCTCGAGTGTCAAAAGGTAGACTCTTCTAAGACAATAAGGATGACATGGGTGGGAAGAGTCTTAAAAATACAGTAGTAAAAGATTCCATGTTATGTAATGTTGAAAAAGACCTTTTCCTTTCTTTCTCTGTTTTTCTTGATGCCTGCCTTTTATTCATCTGGGTCTTAGCCAATGTTTACGTCTCACAAAGATCATATTAGTGACTTGCAATACACATTGCTAAGCATTCTTTAGCGAGCAGCCTTGCTTTGGAAGCAGACATTTTGGTGCGTGCTTGCTTTTCAGTATGAAAACACTTCTTGATGGGACAAGGCCACCTTTGTGTATGGAGTTTTTAATTCTTTTTTCAAGCTATGTTTCTCTGCTAAGCCTGTGGAACTTCTTGACTGCAAGCACTCACAGGCGGGCTAGGCACAGCTGGGAGTCCACTGCAAGCTTGCATGAATTTCTGGTAATTGACTAGGTGTATAAACAAGTTTTATGTGAGAGTGTAGATATGCTTACAATGTGCCTTCCTTCCCAGGTCAGAGGGAGAACCTGAACGCTTTCATATATCCAAACATTTGGTGAGTTCTCTTTTGAAATAGTCATCAAAGGGATTTCTATGACCAAAATGATATAGCGCTGCTAAAAATCCTGTGGCTGGATAAGAAATCCTTTGCCTGGATTCCTGGCAATAGTACTTAAAACTAAAAATGGTTCTCTTTTCTCAAAACTAGCCTGCACTATCTGGGTGACTGATCTGACACTAGCCACATAGTGAGGAGTTAGCGATATTTTCATTGTTTTTGTCTTACTTTGTTGACTGGATGATAAAGTCTTTTTTTTTTTTTTTTTTTTTTTTTGACAGGCAGAGTGGACAGTGAGAGAGAGAGACAGAGAGAAAGGTCTTCCTTTGCCGTTGGTTCACCCTCCAATGGCCACCGCGGCCAGCGTGCTGCAGCCGGCGCACCGCGCTGATCCGATGGCAGGAGCCAGGTACTTATCCTGGTCTCCCATGGGGTGCAGGGCCCAAGCACTTGGGCCATCCTCCACTGCACTCCCTGGCCACAGCAGAGAGCTGGCCTGGAAGAGGGGCAACCGGGACAGAATCCGGCGCCCCGACTGGGACTAGAACCCCGTGTGCCGGCGCCGCAAGGCGGATGATTAGCCTTTTGAGCCATGGCGCCAGCCTGATAAAGTCTTTGATGATAATAAAAACATCAATAATATTTAAAATTTATGGAAGTCCTATGAGTGCCAGCCAGTATTCTAAGCCTTTCCATGTTTTAATTCATTTCATTAAGCCTTTTCAAAAACTTATAGGGCAAGTATTTTATTATCATCATGGATCTGAGCCCCATTATCCCACTGTAGATGGGGATCTGCACCTGAGAAGAGTTAGGCAGCTGCCCTAGATTCTCATTCTAGTTCCTAAGCAGTCTGACTCCTGCTCCTGCACCCTAAGCTTCTTCGTTGTTTGCCTTTTCCAGATCTCTCCTACTTTTCTTCATGGTGACTTGCACAAGGAAGATTCTCCAAAAGTAGTAAAGCATTGCTTTATCAAGTAATTTTCTCTTCATTTGCATTATTTTACCAAGTTCTTATATGTCCTTCTAGGCAGATGATAAAGGAGACCTGTGAATATCTTAATATTCTTGGTCAGAGTATAAGTATAAAGCAGGTATAGCAAAGGATCCTGCAGAAACCCATGCTCCTCGTCACCACTGAACATTCACAGTGGCTCTGTGGTTAGCAAGTTCTGATAGGGAGTCACATCTGCCCTCCAAAGTAGAGATTTGTTTAGTTCACTTCCTCCCGCAAATGGCATCTCATTTATCTGCAGTAACATAATACATATAAATTAGGGAGCCCTTCTTTTCACCTGTTTAGTACCAATGATTCTTCAGCACATTGTAATAGAGCATGTAATACATAATGCTCCTGATGTAAATACCGTTTATAAGCAGTTTCCAGTATCATCTCTCTGACTTGCACATCTTTCATGTTTTCCACTACAAAAGATGTTTTAGAGAGCCTTCAACTAAAAAGGATTCTTTCTATACAAGTGTATTCCATACGGTTTGTGGGAAATCGAGTGAAGAGAGGACTTCATTTTGGGGCAGAAAAGTTTGAAATCTGCCCACACGATGTCTTCAAAAAGTTCATGGTAAATGTGTATTATAAAGAAACTTTGTGTAGAATTCAGAATTTTTTGCACCAAAATAAACTTGCCTATTAATTTCCATTTCCATCAAGTTGTTGAACTTCTGTTGTACTTAGTTTTTATCGTGCTATAAAATGTTTAAAAGCTGTGCCCATGTCTTTGCTTGTTTTTTTTACTAACAGAGAAAGATACAGAGAGAGATGGAGAAAGGCAGACTGTCAGAGAGATCTCCCATTTGCTCATTCACTCCCAAGTGCCTACAATGGCTGGAACTGGGCTGGGCCATAGCTGGGAGCCAGAAATTCAGTCCAGGTCACCCATGTGGGTGGAAGAGACTCAGCTGCTGGAGCCATCACCTGCTGTCTCCCAGGGCCAACTTTAGCAGGAAGCTGGAATCAGAATCTGGAGCCAGGGCTTGAATCCGGCTTCTCCTTGGTGGGATGTTGACATCTTACCCAGATTTTAACCACTAAGCCAAATGTCTGCCCTGCCCTTGTGCCTTTATTTATTTATTTATTTATTTATTTATTTTTACTATGGAATCCTTCCAACATAGAAAACCAATATTCTATATACTAAACACTTAATTTAAAAAATTCTTTACAAATCTCTTACATGAAGAGTAACACCTGCGAATGGAGATTTCTCATAGTTCCAGAATCAAAACAAGAAATGATTTTGACTATAATTACCCTCACGTAGCTCATCCTACTAACCTGTAAATGCTACAATGCATCATAAATTCCCTGCCAGCAGTGACAATCTAGTTGAAAATTGAGATAATTGGTATACACCTAGGTGCACAAGGGCACACATATGCAAGCATATGCTTACCTATAGTATGTACCTTTATCCATCTATTTTATCACGTAGATAAAGGCTCACAAAAGCATCCTGATAAAAAAAATAAAAACCAGGCTTCATAGAGTATGTGTAAAATGTGACATGTGTTAAAACGGTTTAAAATAGTTAGGTTGGGGTGCTTACCCACTATCTCAAGGAACAGGAGCACTCAACCAGGATTTTAAGGTTTAGAGAGTTCTGTGCAGAAATCAGGTGGGCAAAGCATTTTATATTAGAGAGATCATAATGAGGAAGTAGGAGAGTGAGACAAATATTTTAAAAAGGAAAATGAGGGCCAGTGCCGCGGCTCACTAGGCTAATCCTCCGCCTTGCGGCGCCGGCACACCGGGTTCTAGTCCCGGTTGGGGCGCCAGATTCTGTCCTGGTTGCCCCTCTTCCAGGCCAGCTCTCTGCTGTGGCCAGGGAGTGCAGTGGAGGATGGCCCAAGTTCTTGAGCCCTGCACCCCATGGGAGATCAGGAGAAGCACCTGGCTCCTGCCATCGGATCAGCGCGGTGCACCGGCTGCAGCGCGCCGGCTGCAGTAGCCATTGGAGGGTGAACCAATGGCAAAGGAAGACCTTTCTCTCTGTCTCTGTCTCTCACTGTCCACACTGCCTGTCAAAAAAAAAAAAAAAAAAAAAAAAAAAAAAGGAAAATGAGGAGAGAAAGGACTTGCAATGTTGATGGGAAGTAGGCAGAAGAGAGAGTGAGTGAAGTGGCTAGGAGAATATGTGTGGCCATGGAAACCCAATGTCTGGGCTGGGCGGGCCATGAGAAAGTGGAAACCTATAGAGACAACGCAGTCAGGTGCTTGGCAAATCCCTGTCTCCCCAGATCTTCTGGTTTATTTTCTTAACATGGAAATTTCAGATGAAATTTTCCAGTTTAATGTTAATATCTCACGTGATAATGTTTTTACGATTGTGTAGACCAAAACCACTTTAGCCAAACAAAATCTATGTCTGGGCCAGTTCTGGCTGGAGACCTCCAGTTTGCAACCTGAGATAGAATTAATGAAAAGGGCGGAAACATCTAAGTCTTAATTCAGAACAGGCCGGTTTGCCTGTCTATTGGAGGTTCCTTGTGAACTGGTTTTCTGCTCTGCGTGACAGGGTTGGGTACTAGAGAAAATGGGCTCACTTGATGGAGAAAACTAGAATCTTGCCAGTCAAACTGGATATGGAGACCAGCAGGTTGAGCATCGCATCGAAGGGTGTTGGAGGCAGGATTTCAGGCTGCAGCATAGGCTTCTTCACGCACAGGGACATTTTCACATCTTGAGGGGATTCGTGTGCACATCTGTGTTTGAGTAGCAACAGGCTCAGTGTAAGAAGGATTTTCCAATATCGGAGAATGGTCATTATGAAACTAACCAGGCATGGCTCTCAAAAAAATCCTTTTGCATGAAGCTAACCTCATCTTTTTGTTCCATTTTTCCATGAGCTTTTGGAAATAATCTTTCGCTCAGTGTTCTTATTAAATAGTCTCTAAAAGACAAAGCACAAGTTTGAGGAGATAACAAAGTTTCAGAGCATCTTTACTGCAGCGAGTGGAAAATGGAGCCAAAACAAGGGTTCACTCTTACGGAAGCTGGAACAAAGCCGTTATTATGGTAATGTGGACATATTTAGTAATGCATTTCACAGTGTTAAGTTCTTTGCAAGAACTTGGGGAGACAAATATAAGGCTCAACCCAGGTAATACATTTGTTTGGTAATCAGTAAATTATCTTATATAGTCAGTACATTGTTGAATCCTGGACAACATAAGATCTTTGCTTTCACATGTTTTTGCAATATTGTACTCAGCCTCAAGTATAAATTGAATAGAGTGACCTTTTGGTACTCTGTAAAATTGACTGCATTTCCTAAGATTCTGTGGTTTCAATTACCATAAATTTTTGATATTGGGTCCACAGCTATTGAATTGGCCCCAGCATAACAATATCTTCTCGTTGGTTCTGATAATACAGTTGGCAGTGGCCCAGCATGTTGTCACTCTCATGTGTGTGAACGTGTGCATATGTGTGCGCCTCATCAGAAGTTCATGTCAAGTACAAGGACAATATGCACTTTACCCAAATCCAATCCAGTCAGCCAGTACTTTGTGAAATGCACATGATTTCAGGCCAAGTACTGGAAATTGTCTTCTAGGTTGCTAGCTGGGTCTTGAGCCTCTGAGATGGATAAGTCAATTAGTGGTTCCTCAGTTTATTAGCAACTTAATTGTCAGAATGTAATGAAATTTCTGAACTGCAACAACTCATTAAAAGTAATGAAACATGTGACTTTTTTTTCATAGAAAAATATTCAGTGAACTGTGTTTTCCCCAAAGAGATCTTGAAAATAAAATTAAGTTCAAATTCATACCTATAAAAATATAATGGGTTTGAAGTCTGCCATTGGTATACTGCTCTAAAAAAAATCAGGGTGATTGAAAAGGGTGTGTTCAGACTCCCACTCTGCCACATTTGTTGTGAGTTACTTGATCTCTCCCTAAGCCTCAGTCTTCTCATCTGTAAAATGGTGATATGTAGTTATTTCAAAAGATTTTTATGCAGATAAAGGGAATAGTAT